TTGTTGTTTTTACCATATGTTTGAAAAAAAAAATAACTCAACCTTTATTTTACATCTACAGAATCGTGAGAAAATTGTGATCTTTATTTTAAGCAAAAAAATTGCAATTCTCATTTTAGCCAGAATCACGCAGTGACATGGACACCTCTAAATCTAGTACAGTTCATATATCTGACTGTTTGTATTAAAGGTGCAGTAGGTGATCTGCCAAAATGCTAACCGCTTGGCATATATGTCTTTGGACAGCTGGGAGGGACTGTGATTCAAAGCCATGACTCCTGAAATTGCAAACGCGCACCGCGTCACAACAGCAGACAACCCACTAGTTCATGTCATTCGTCAGTTAGTTAGTGTTTGGCCGGCGGCGTGCAGGAATTACATTTATATTAAGCCATACCTTCATTCTATTTCAGAGCGAATATTCAGTGTTGCATGGTAAACAGTATAGGAAGGCTGTCATTGTTCAAAAATGAACCAATGTGAATATACAAGCAACTTCAGCTCTGTAAAGCTGGTTAGGCGGAATAGCGCTATTTATTGATGTTTTGTTGTCAAACTAAATAAAAATTTACATTATCGATGCTGTCACAGGTCTCTTATAAAACTGAAAATACTTGCATCAATCTTTCGCCGGGAGATTCAGTGGCTGAACGACACGTCTGTCCATATAAGCCCTTCATAACAGAACACAATCTAACATAGGCTTAGCCTGACTAAAATAGTTTTAAAACAGAACATTACCTGTCTAACAGTAATACTTCAGCTATTGTGTCATCCTTCCTCCAGCTTGCAAAAGTAACTCCAATATTGATTCAGGATTTTCAAAAGTTTCAATTCAGCATTTGATTTCACCGCGTCTGTGATTGTCTCGTGAACGCGTGGCGCTTATGCAGGGTGGGAAGCGCAAATGGCAGATCTGCGTGAACAGATGTGCAGAACTCCAAATCTGCATTTGCTGACAGACAGTTTGAGCTAATTATCGGAATTATGGGAGATGTCGGCCCGACAATATTTAATTGGATGACCATTTGTTAGTTTTATGCCTTACCCAGAAAATAAAAATACATATAAATACATTTAAATTATTTACTTTAATCATTTTTATTGGACTATGAAGAGACCTTCAACCAGCACAACAATAAATGTTTCTGAAGACAATCACCTACTGCACCTTAAAGGGATAAAGTTGTATTACAAATAGTATATAAACATACATTTTATTACAAGAATTGTTGTCCTGTGAAGAAAATATAAAACTGTGTATGGAAAGCATCTACTGCATCATGATGCACCGAGATGTTGAATTGAACCGAATCGATGACATTGATAATAACCGAACCGCGTAAACATTTGAGGTTACTCGCTTCATTCGCGCGTCAAACCCTGATTCATTCGCGCGTCAAACCCTGATTCATTCGCGCGTCAAACCCTGATTCATTCGCGCGTCAAACCCTGATTCATTCGCGCGTCAAACCCTGATTCATTCGCGCGTCAAACCCCGCTTCATTCGCGCGTCAAATTCACTTCAGAACAGACGCGGATTCGCGTGATGGGCAGGTCTTCTGTCTGCCCCGTGACTCTAGCTTCATAGTTAAAGGGCTAACATGGATTTTTATGAAGAAAATAACAGTGTTTATGTGCTTTATGAAGGATGATAATCAGCGTCGATACGTTTAGGGCCGTGTCTGAGTCCACTACATCCTTTCAGAGGTGCATCCAGCTCTTTAAGGTTATAGACTCCTCCAGAAACTGAACCTGGCTGATGGAGGTTTTCAGCGGTGCTTCTGACTGAGCCCAGCCCAGTTTGATGAACTTCTTGTCGGTGTCTGCTGTGGAATTTCCCCTGGGACACCGACAACAGGTGATACGTCACAATCACGCCCCCACAAGAGCAAGCTCCTGATTGGTTAACACGGCGCGAATGTCCGCTGAAGTTCAGATTTTCGAACTCGAGTGATTCGTGTGAAACGTGCATTAAGCGCGTCAAACGCTCAATTCGCGTCACGCCATTCGCGCCATGCGCACCGCACAATTCTCGTCATTCGCGCGTATCGCGCCGCAGGATGTCTATTTGCGTGTTTGCAATGACTTAACATGTAAATCACTCGCGCTTGATGCGTGTGCCACGTCTGGTGTGAACGCAGCATGAGACCACTATAGGTTCACATCTGTAGTTCACTGAGGGTTTATGTGCGAAAGCACTAAGCGCCACGTCTGAACACATTTTTACAAATATGAGGCCTATGAGCCAAAATATTTTTAAAATCGTTGTGGAGGTCATAGTCGAATCTAAATTTTGATTAATTGCACAACCATGGTTACCTATTATTATTATTATTTTGGTGGACTTGTAGCGAACTTGACTTCAAGTGACTTTACTTTGAAAAGTAACTCTTTATGTCCATGTCTCCCCTGAGTCTTGCACTGTAAGGCTCACTGGAAATTTTTCTTGCGGCTTTGGAGCTGCGAACATCCAAACGTACAGTAGCAGCCACTTACTTGACAGCAGGGAAAGGCACAGCCAATCACACTGTGTCTGTATGCTTTTGGGGGAGGTATAGAGCTCAAGTAGAGAACATGATATTACCTAATAGAGAACAACAGACAGTTGGTTCGTTGTAGTTGATTCTATTTTTTTTTTATGAATTAGGTAGCTTCTGTAGCATGTACATACAATGGATTTATTGATTATGAATGTTATTTCAAATGGCTTTTGATACTATGAATCTGAATATTTTTTTATTTTTAAATGGAAAGAACTGTCATTAGTAGTTTATAGAATTAAAAACAAATCAATTGATCTTTTTCAATTGTGTACATAAATTACACAGATTCGGGATATTATTTATTGTTGCAATACATCATTGCAGAACTAGCATAAAATGGTTGCAATATATTCAGTGCTTCAAACTAAAAATCATATCGATTGGCTAGTTTAACTTGTCAATTATCTAATAATTGTTGTTTGTTTCTCCCACAGTTGATAGATGAGCAGATCCTTTGTGTACATGGTGGCCTTTCACCTGACATCAAAACTCTGGACCAGATACGCACCATTGAACGCAATCAGGAGATCCCTCACAAGGGAGCATTTTGTGACCTTGTTTGGTCCGACCCAGAGGACGTGGACACCTGGGCTATCAGTCCAAGAGGAGCTGGCTGGCTGTTTGGTGCTAAGGTCACTAATGAGGTAAAAATCGCTCTCAAAGTGCACAGTCTGCTTTGTTTTTGGCTTTTATAACACTTCCCTATGGAAGATACTATTGCTCTGTAATTACAGATTGAGGTCTGCTAATTATTTGTTGATTCTAGGCATGGGCCTGTATAAGTTTTGCACGGTACGATAAACTTGGATAAAAATACCACTGTTTCACGTTGTTGCGATTACTGCTTTAAAATAAGTTAACTTTAATTTTTTTTTTGCCGTATTAAACACAAAATATTTAATTTTAGTAGACATTTATAATATTTTGGAACACTAAACATGTCAGGCTAAATAATTAAAATGCACCATTGACCTCTGCACTCTTCATATGTTTCAAAAACACAGATTAATTTACAAAACACAAAAAAAAAAACATTTAAAAAAAGCTTGCATATACCTTAGAAATGGTACGACAGTAAATATTAGCGGTTTTAAAATCAAACCATGGTAAACCCTGAAACTGCTTATCATCCCATGCCTTGTCAATTTTCTTTGAACTATGCAGAAACTGAGTTTTTGTGTGGCTCATACTCACTGCCTAAGTAATAAAGATGGAGACTTAGTAGTTGGCATCTGCATGTACATTCTAGTGCACAGTGTCTGAGATTGTAGTAAAAGTAAAAACCTCACTTCATGCATAACCTAAATCTTTTTATTTGTTTTTTTCTGTTAAAGTTTGTTCACATCAACAACTTGAAGCTGATTTGCCGTGCACATCAATTGGTTCATGAGGGCTACAAATTTATGTTTGATGAGAAGCTGGTGACCGTCTGGTCGGCCCCAAACTACTGCTACCGCTGCGGTAACATTGCCTCCATCATGGTCTTCAAAGACGTCAACACACGGGAGCCCAAGTTATTCCGGGCCGTTCCTGACTCAGAAAGAGTCATACCACCGAGAACGACAACACCCTATTTCCTCTGAGGTCTTCATTGTTGCCTATGTCTCGCCCTCTCCTTTTCATGGTTGTCATGAGCTCTTTTATTGTCTTTATTTTCTCTGTGTTGCTTTTTTTTTTTTTTTTAACAAATATTTTTGTAAAGATGGAAGTGCTCTCAATAATAACAACAGAAAACTATGGTTACAGTTCTGAACCCTGTTGAAAATGTTTTAAGTTGGTCGTTATTCGGTCAGTATAATCTTGTTAATGTGAGCGTAATGAAGTGAACATCCCCATGCTGTACTTGCAGGCCTTTTAAATGTAGACCTAAGAGCCGTTGACCATTTAATGACAAGCATTTATAGTGTAACACCTCGCCTGATCAGAACAATGTGGTGTTTGTGTTTTTCAGAGCACAGACCAGAAAGAGAGTCACTAAAACAGCTATGTTCTGGTCAGTTTGCTCCCAATTTCTCCAAGACAAAGACACTTTTGTTTTTCGTAGCTTTCAAGTGTTGAAAAGGGTTGAAGCAATGATTAGACAACAGGACAAAGAAGGCTGTGATTATTTTGTACATTAATATAAATTGTATTGATTTAATCAACTTTTTTTTCTCAGATTTGTTGTATTTTATTATTGTAGAAAACGGCAGCCCATTTACCAATTAAATATTGAGAATAAACGCCTTTATTATTAAGTTACATTTCTGGTGTTGTGTCCTAATCAATCGAAATATTTAATTACACACACAAGTTTAAATGCACTAAAATAACACACCATAGGGAGGCGCGCCTTCCTCCCTTGTCCATCCAACAGGCAGAACCGTGGAAGGCAGTTCTACGCTAGTCCCGCCTCAAAGTGTAAGTTGTATTCAGATTGACACCGCAGCCAACCAATGAAATACCTTGAACGTCACTAACAGACCGGAGGGAATCTGACAAGCACGCTAGTTTGAGCGGGTTGCCACAAAACAGTCAATGAAAATTCAACTGGCCAGACTGAACCGTCGACCGCAGCAGATGCCGAATGGCAGATACTCCCTGCTTTTCCCTGGGAGGGTGATTTGAATGAGTTGGATGTAAATGACGGTGCGCCACCGCACTGGATGTCTAGATTTGTGTCGGGGAGAGATTTACAAGCGCGCGCTACCCGGAGACGCCGTTCTTGAGGAGCTGAAACAGAAGAAGCTGCTCTGAACTACATCAGTCTCAGGTTGGCTCTCAGATCACTGACTTTTTTAGGGGTACTGCACTCAGAGTAATACGCTAGGGGAAAAGGCAAACACTGCCCAAGTTAACAACTGAGATAAGTCAGTCAGACAAACTACCACTTAAAAGATTTTATGATGGTTTAAATGCCGTAGCGTGTGTGTGTTTGTGTGATAAATATATACATACATATATATATATATACACACATATATATATATATATATATATATATATATATATATATATATATATATATATATATATATATATATATGCTGTGAATGAATGAATGCATCAGTTCAGTCATCAGCGCAACATAATTCAGGTTGCCAGGAAACCGCAGTCACAGCATCCGCTAAAGCCACAGTTTTGTCAACTCTGATGGTCATTCTGAGGACAAAACGCCGCTGCTCCACGAGCGTATTAAAACCATGTTAACATAGCCCCGTCGCTTCTGTTGCCGTTACACAAGTCAACCTACAGTTGCATCTTTGACAGAGTCACACAGAGTTGTCGTGTATTACCGCATCCTGATCTGAGAGAGACAGGCGTCGTGAGAGAGGTAAGTCATAATAGACGAGACGCAGGCTCGAGTAAACGCATTTAGACGGGCTGAACGGCGTGAAGAGTCACAGATCTGACCGTTGTCGTTCCTCACACTGGTAATTGATGTAAAACAACAGCGATCAGTCAGTCAGTCCGCGTTCCCGGTCAATGAACGGAACGAGCGCAATTACGCAGAGATGCACGCTGCCAAACGCTTCACGTTTACTTGAGATTTTCACCCTTTGTCTATTGTTGCTTTCAGTCCTCCCATATATTCGAGCTGGGAGTGATATTGTGAATGGAACCCGAGCCAATAAGCATCTCTGTATTATTATTGAATGAAGACGGTTGAAAAATCATTGGCTGTCGCAGGAATTACAGTATGTGCAGCCCGGGTTCATTCTGTCCTACAACCGCACGGGGTTGAATTTTGCGGAGCGCCCGCTGTCTGCTCGGTTTATTGTTCACGTTAAGGGCTGCATCGGCCGCGCGTGCTTCATTTGCGAGTGCCGTTTGTATATTATAGTAAGCTCGTTACGACTGTGCCATAAATATGCATTGCGTTTTCAGATGCGATCTTATGATAGTTGTGCGAGAATAAGTGACATCGGATGACTGGAACCGGTAATAAAAAAGAGATCTGTTGCAGAAGAGCATGTTTTCTCAGCATCGGCTCTTACACACATCATTTGTGAAAAGAGCTACCAGGTTGCTTAGCTGAAATGACGTCATTCTGACTTGTTATGGAAGAATGAGCTCGTGGATGAGGAGTCTTGTTCTGTTACTATAGGTGCTAGTGAGTGAGCATTTGCCCAGGTGGTTATGGATGATTACAGCTGCACTTTATCTAGAAATTATCCTTACACTCAAGCTCCAGTGTAAACCCTGTTGCCTGATTGTATTTTGGGAGGTGTAGTACCACAGGTCGTGCTGACATTCAGTAGTGATATTTTTAAGCCTGGATAAACTCATAATTGACCCCAATTAATTTGGCAAATCACTAGCCTTGTGGTGATCAATTACTATGCAGGTCAACAAACAACAATTAAAATAATGTCATAAAGGCAGCGTTTGCTAAAAATGTACACTAATTAAAAGCTAACAGTGGCAATCTTTTATGCATTTTGGTCATTTCCATGTACACTGCAGCGTTTTGGGTCTATTAAAATGCAAACATTTGAAAAGTATATAGCCATGTGCATGTAGTTTACATGCTAGTGGCCTTTAGTTGAACATTATCATAGTTTTTAGAACTACTCACACCACAGATGTACCCTCTTTCCCCCCATGTTTGCACTGCACCAACTGGGAATGATTTAGCTTTAGGAATGCCTTTTGTAGGGACTAAAATATCTCCTGACTTAGAATTCAGAACAACAGAAACTAGCAGTGACGTAAGTGCAGGTTGATTGGATGAAGACTTGAATGAAGAAACAGAAGTGTTAGCAGCATTTACATGCATCCTTGTATTCAGCATTGTGTTGTGAGGATGCATAGCAAGTTGTTGGAGATTTCTTAGCCTTTTTTGCTAAAGATAATGGCCTAAGGGATTTATTTAGTTCTTGAGGGACCAGCTTGGTGACTAATAGTTCCTATAGCTACTTGGTGTGAAATCTCCTAGTGGTTGTCGCAGGACTGTACTTTCATAACGGAGTGATTTTAGTTGTTTTTGTGGATCCATATGAAATTTTGAGAGTAAGAGTTTCTTTAAGCAAAACTTCCCAAATACACCCCCCCCCCCCCCCAAAAAAAAAAATGTTGTTTTGTTAATGTTGTCTTAATCAGAAATCAAAGAGGTGTACTAAAATCAAGTTCCACTCGTTCGGTGCATACCTCACAACAATAATGTCACACTCACTGTTGAAAAATTAAAAACTGTTTCAGCAAAAAATTAGCCTGGCAATTTGTATGTTTAGTATGTTTTTCCCACCAACGACTGAATGAAAATGGTTCTAAAATATCAAGTTTTTTGTGCCTCAAAACAATGCAAATAAGTGGTGTGGAATAGTAAATGAGAGGAATGAAATTACAGTAATTTTACCTTATCTCATGCAAATAAACTCATGATGATGATGGAAATGCATCATGAGTTATTTAATTGATGCATATAAATGTTTGTGTATTTGTTAGAGATGCATGATTAATCGAAGGTGATTGTCATGCACATTTTATCAGTAAAGGCTGGTTCACTATCAGTGGAACACAATTTGCACAAAGAAATGATGGGGTTCTTCTCTGAAGAAGTTGTTACTCTACCCTGTTTAGAGCATCATTATGGGCGTTTTATGTTATAACTAACGTACTTCAAACGATGGATCTGCGAAAGAGAAACTACAGGTTTTCGGAAACACTCGTCACTACATCATTCTTTTCCCAAATGATGCATCATGCTCTGATAGTTTAGCCGCGAGTTAGTCGATGTTTGGGAAACGCATCCCAGAAAAGGAACCAAAAGCATTGTCAAAACATTCCATGGAACTTCTGTGGTTCAATTTATTATAATGTGAAGCTCAGAGAACACTTTTGTGAACCAAAAGGGGGTAAAAATGACTTTTTTTTTTTCCAAGTGTCTGATTGCCAGTAGTTAACGCGCACTAGGATCTGATACAGAAGACAAAAAAGTGCTTTTGTAGCTTTTTTATGATTAGTTAACCACTGAAGTCACATGGAATGATTGTGAATGTCTCAAGACCTTTGCTGTTTATGGACAATGAGAAAGCTTTCTGGTTTAATTAAAAATATCTTAATTTATGGTCCAAAATAAAGAAAGAACTAGGAGAATTGTAATGACATAAAAATATTTAAGATGAAAATTTCCTGAATTAACTGGATAATTTTTCATTTTTTTGAGTGAACTAAATCTTTAATGAAATTTGTGGACTGAAGGTAATTGTTGGATGAATCAAGCTCAAAGACCTTCCTAAGTAAAAGCAGTGTCAAGATAGCAAGCTAGTTCATTATTATAGTGGAGGCTTTCTTCTCACTTCTTCTGTTTGTGTCCTGAGTTATGTAGGACACCTGTCCTATTTTCCTCTGCTTTTACTACTTACCTCATTCCTGCGTGGATATAAATACTGTTAGACAGCCTTGCACTTTTTAAACCACCACCATCTTTTCATTCCTATATGTTCACTTTCTTTTAAAAACCTGATGTTTCAGTGACAATACTAATCAACATGAAAAGTCATATGGTGTTTTGCATTGGGGGTAGATGCATTAGTCAGCATGTGTGTTTTCGTGCCCTCTCAAATAGATTGCAGATTGGTTATAATTGGTTTTAATGTCACACAATGGCCAAACTCTTGTTCTATTGTTTGTTGTCATCTGACTTTGCGTATTTAAGTAACCTTGATGTAGTTTATAGTAGGTTTACCTCAGCTTTATGAACTATTTGGTGAGTCCAGGTGAGAGTGAAAGCCGTCAGTCAGTATATATCTAATAAAACATTATTGGAGATACATTAAAGTGCTAGGTAATATGGTATTGATTTAAGCATTGACTTTCAGTTGCACGTCTATGTTACGTACAGGTCATAGCCACTGCCTCATCCTGCAGTTCTTTTGCTGCAGATGCATAGCTCATGCATTTTTATGGAAGGAAAGGATATGTGGGTCAAGCGCACATCTCTGTGCAGAAGCCTTTTACCACTGCTGGCTTTAGAGAAAGAGCATGCATTTGTTTCCTTCATGAGGCAAGGAGATCTCTCTTATGCATGCCCCGTTTCCACATCTTCTTATCATCAGTTTTCTAAAGCCCATCTGCCATTCATTCCTAGATTGCACTTATAGGGATCTAGAGGACAAGTCATTTGTTTTAGCGTAAGATCACACATGGCCACCCTTTAGCTCTTGGTTACCTCTTGTTACGACCAAATATTGAGCTAGGTATTGATTAACAAGCTATTTTAGTATACTTGCTCAATCGCTGTTTGCATGTTATGTGAATGTAGTGCACCCACTGAGCACCATCTGACCAAGATGAAGACACATCCTGCCTTACTTCACTGTTAGAATTATGATTTAAAGGGCCATGAAACCCCCTCGTTTCAGCAGGGTGTTTTCACACCTCTACTTTGGAAAAAGTCAGAAAAGTGGGCGTGTCCAGCTCTGTTTAGGGGGGAGTGTCGGAGGAAGAAAAGTGGGATGGTGTAGGAGTGGGGCACGCGCGAGTTTCAGAGTCAAAATTCACACACACAGTAGAAAGTGATGGTGTTTAACCTACATGGACATCTGTAGTCAAATTATTTGGCAAATTATTAAATGGTGGACTTTAACTGCAGATTGGCTCTTTCATTCAGGGAATTCATTCATGCCCCTCGCGACAAAGAAGATATTTAATTCGAGGAACTGCTCTAAGCGTGTATTTTTCATGCAATGTTTGATACCGCACGGCGAATGAGAGAAAAAAAAAACTCAGCATTTCCCGGAAACTTAGATGCACACGGCAGGTAGTGTC